GGTTCGAATCCCGTTGAAGCCCTGATTTTTTTCAGGCTTCTTCTTTCCAGTTGCTTAAATTGGAAAATTTACTGCGATGATCATACTTCACTTTCAATATATATATAGTTACATGTAAATTATAATAATGGAAGTAAATTAACTTATGAAATAACTAATTATTAATATTATTATATCCTTTGATTGAGACACAATAATATTATAACTATTTGACTGAATTGGCTTTTTTATATTTAGGAACTAGTTTTGGAGAAACAGAATCGTTTGAAAGAATCAATGAAGATGATGGGACTGGCTAACTGGATCCACTGGTGTGCATGGTTCATTAAAAATCTACTGTTCCTGCTCATTTCTGTTGTCGTGATGGTCATTGTACTAAAGGTAAAGTTCCGTATTGTTGTTGGTAGCAAGGTGTTTTTCTTGATCGATATAATATATTGTTCATTGTTTGTTTTATTTTGTTTTCATTTGGAAGAATGTTTCTCAGAGGGGGACTTCCGTATGTAAAAAGGGTGGGGTGTTGTTGGAAATTCTGAAAGAGGTACCAAGATCCTGTTTTGTGGGTGTGGCTTGAAATTTTTTCACCCCATAAGAGGTATCAATTCTAAAGCAACATACACTGACTTTTTGGCTCAATACTGTAATTAAAAGGAACTGTGAAAGCTCCCCTGTGTGGACTTTTTGAGGCTCAATGCCCTAGGAGGTACCAAATCTGGTTTTTTAACCCCTAATAGGTACGACAAGCACCCCCATCCTTCTCTCCCGCCCTTGGGGGAATGTTCACAACTGATTTTAGAATGTTAGTGATTCGTAACATGTACCTGGGTATTTATACCTGCTCTTACTAGTTTGATTGTTTCATTTTCAGGTCCTGGTATATAAGTATTCTGATGCAAGTGTTATCTTAATTCTGTTCATCCTCTACATTATTGCTAGCATTTTATTCTCCTTCTGTGTCAGGTAATTATAATTGTCTAGTGGGAAGATTATGGCTCTAAGCTTCTTGTTAAAGTAGGATACATTCATGTACGGGTACAAATATTATATAATTGTCAGCTAGCTACAGTATTCAGTTGTACAGTCAGTCAGTATATCACACATGATAATTATTCACATAGCACATTTAACAGTGATGAAATGTACATGTAAACTTATAAGTGAACAAAGATGGTAAATTTTAAGCTTTGTTCTGAAATGTGAAAGGTGAATTGATCAACATGACACGAGCGTGGGACAAAGAAAAAATCTGAGTCCCCAACAGGAATCAAACCCATGACCTTTCAAACACTGGGTGGGCGCTTTATCCACTAAGCTATGAGAACTTATGAAGAGCAAGGTGACTTAACTGAGTTCATACGTGACAGGTGTCCAGCATACTGCTAGGATCAGCACTGTCAAAGTTATCCTGAGTAGTGATAAGTGAACAAAGATGGTGAATTGTAAGCTCGGTACTCAAATGTGAAAGGTGAATTGATCAACATAACACAAGCATGGGGCAAAGAAAAACACGCTTGTGTCATGTTAAACAATTCACCTTATACGTGTACATGTAAACTTATTTTGCATTTGTTAAAGGAAGTTTTGGGGAGCAGGGATGGCACAGTGGTGAGAGCACTTGCCTCCCACCAGATTGGGTTCGATTCCAGCCCGGGACCATATGTGGGTAAACAAGTTTGTTGTTGGTTCTTGCCTTGCTCTTAGGGTTTTTCTCCAGGCTTTCCGGTTTCGCTCCCTGCACAAAAACCGACATCTTCCAAATTCCAATTTGACCAAGCTTAAGAAAGTAAGTAAGTAAGTAAGTAGACTTTATTGGAGAGGGTAACATTTGACAGTAACAAAACTGATTAACTAATGGCCCTCAAAATAAACACAAAAAAATTAATTAATTAAAATCACCATGTACATCCTATAAATATGACGAATTTACAATATCTAAGCAGTAAAAATGTAAAACTGCTATATACTAATAAATGATTGAGTAGTAAATTGATTTTTTAAATTTGATTTAAAAAGTGATCCTTTAAAATGCTTTGTGCTTAGACTACGCTTAAGATCGACATTTAGCTTGTTCAATTCTTGGATATTTCTTACGGTAAATGTCCAGCCACCTTCTGTGCATCTCTTGTAGCGAGGACAGCTTAAATTTAGAGGACCCATATGAAAACCAGCTAAGGCTGATCTGGCTTTCTCTCTAAATATAGTGATGTATTTTTTAAGTACAAGGATAATTCTTTTTTTGACATACGTGTAGCTTCCTGTGGTGTGTGAGGAGAGTTTAGCATTGCTGTATGTGTTTGTTTTTTCATTTTTTCAGCGTGTTCTTTTCCCGCCCTGTTCTTGGCATGCTTCTGGGTGCCTTAATTTGGATTGCAACGTTGGTGCCATATTTTGTAATTTTTGAGAACAAAAAGTACAGAGCTTTAACCAGGTATATTGTCAATTAAACTAGTAGATAAATATATTAGCTCTTAAGGAAGGATAAAAGTGCTTCTTCCAGTGAAATACCCTTTCAAACAGATGTTCTTTTGCATGCAATTTGGCAGTATTGCAACACAGTTGTCCTTTCAAAAAATACAAGGGTATTTTTCCAAGTTCCATTTGAGTGTTGACAAGATTTGGTTTCAACTTTACACAATCAAATAACAAGAAGAGCTAAATTACTCTGTAGCTGGTAGGAAACAATTCCCATATTAATGTTTATTGGCATACATGAGCAAGAAAAATATAGTCAGACAAGTGAGTTGCCAAACTGGATACAGCTCTTCAAAATCTTATTGCAGAGCAAATTTAAATTTTAAACCAGGGGTTCGATTTTGTTGATATGAACTCAACCTAAATAGCTTGCAGTCAGCAAGCAGTTTAGTAGCAACAATTACAAGTTTTCCCTTTCCCAAACAATCAGATAAAAAAAAAGTAATAATAACAAAATTGTGTTGAAAACCGGTTATTAGGTTATCAGTACAATAATTGTAACAATTTAAAACAGATATTAAATAAATATATATATATACATGTATAATTATACATAGGTAATCTTTGTGCCTTTGTGCATTTTTAAATAAGAAACAAGCCGGTTGAATTAAATTTCCTGCCCAACTTGGAAGTCCTGGAAGTTCAGTTTATCTAAACTATTATGTATGTTTAGTAGGCTGAGCAAAAATTACTGTATCTTGAAAAGATTGAATACAGTATATGTTGTCGTTTATTTTTTATCTGTTAATTTTTTATTTCAACTTTATGTGGTTAGTTTTCTTTGACTTTGTAACTAACTTAAAGAAAACAAACCACATTATTAAATACTTTGAAATCAAAAATTAGCTCAGATCAAAAACTAACTGCGACAAATATCTAATAGTAAGCTAAGGCAATACAGTGTAAGTAATGATAATGACTTTTTTCAGATCACAGAAGGCTGGGGCATGCCTTTTACCCAACACCTGCATGGGGATTGCTGCTAAATTATTTGCACAATTTGAGACTCAAAGAGTTGGAATTTCATGGAAAGATGTATCTGGTTTCCCTTCTCCTGACGAAAACTTCAATATGGCATGGGTGTTTTACATGCTCTTGGCACAAAGTGCAATTTATGCAACTGTCACTTGGTGGGTACTGTTTAATGTAAACTGAAAGTTTACACAAATGCGACAGCAAAGCTAGTGACCATACATGTACCACCAAGTTTTGAGTCACCTCTTGCCTTGCCTAACCTGTAACAAAGCTGCTGCTTGTGGGTGAATTGTGTCAATAACAGGCACTTTCATCCATAACCATTATACAAGGGTGTTGAAGATAACAGCCCTTGCCTTTTACTGTGTAGGAAACTGTTACCAGCTGTGGAAGGGAGAAGGCAAGGTTGCACAGTCACATAAGCCATAAACAAGCAAAGCAATAATTATGGTGGGCAAAACAAGCCTTGTGCATTTATTTTCCCCAAGATACTTTGTGACAAAAGAAAAGGGGAGGGCTGGTGTTAGTTTCTTCATGTCTTCTTGTCCTCAACAAAACCAGTCTCAAAATTACTATCAGTTTTAATTTTGTATTTCAAATTATTAATAACCTGATATCAATAAAAAATTTTCAAGAAAGCATTGTGATTGTTATACAATTAAGATCAAGACTGTTGGCTTCTTTCATCAGGTATGTTGAAGCAGTGTTTCCTGGAGAGTTTGGAATTCCCAAACCATTTTATTTCCCATTCTTACTATCCTATTGGACAGGCCACCATCATCAGAAAATTTGCGCTGTTAACCCAGTAAGTATCAAGCATTACTTAATCAAGATACCAGTATATTAACACAATTAAAACGTTCTCTGGCTGAAAAAGTTAAGTTAAAATAGGCTTTCGGCTGAATGCCAACCTACAGAATTGCTCCGAAAACTGGAGAGGTTTGAGAAATCAAGAGTAAACTCCTCCTAACTTTTTTGAATTGTAGGAAAAGATTATTTCAGTCATTAAGAGGTCCAAAAAATTTCAGGCTTTGCAAAACTGGGATTCCACTGTGTTTAGAGGAAACACTCGCAGATAAGCAAAAGTTGATTACCCTCATTGTGGGAATCCTTGGTGTAAGGTATATTTATTAAATCCATATTTTTTTAACCTACTGTCATGACAGTATAGCCAAAGTTACAAGTTTCAGTTAGTGTCAATTGGGTGAAGGATTCATTTTAATTTATATTGAACCTTTTTGTTTTTGTTTTCAGCTAGATAAGCGTGGGTGTCAGGTAGGCTTTTTCAATATTTACATGGCACATTATATCTTACATTATATATGCTGGAGCTTACTAAGTTAGTGACAGAACCACATACACATGTAGTTCTATTACAGCATGTGTCACATAATTTATCATACTACTGCGACTGCATTGATCACTACATCTTTTTGGCTCTGATTCAAAGCATTTCATAAGTAATGTTAGATGTTTGGATAATGATACTTTCAGTTAGTGCACTTAATTACTTAAATTAAAAGGTTGATACTAAACACTTTTTAAATGAGTGAGGTCTTTACCGGAAAATCTCAACTGAGACTTGGCCGTATTGACCAAGTGATAGTGAGGTCACAGGGCTCAAAATTGTAACTCACTGGTCGCCAATGTGACCAAAAATCAGGTGTTGGCAACCAGATATTAAGAACTGGTCACCAGTGGGTGACTTACGTTTTCTTCAGTCAACCTTTTAACCTCAAAAGGAAACGACATTACTTGTAAATGAAAGCTTAAGGCAGGATTTATTCGTATAGATAGACTAAACCAAACCCACAATTCTTAGATTGCCAACTGGGTCGCCATATTTGATTCAGCAGTTTCCCTATTTTAAGGCACACTAAAGTGAACGATCCTCTCATATCGGGAAACTTTGAAATGGCTGCCCCTGTTTGAAATCACCCTATAATGCATTGCAAACCCTTGAGCATTGAGTATGTCATGTATTTATGCCTACGGATTGCGTCTCTTCTATCTGCAACTAAAAAATTGCACTTGGCGTCTGTTTTTTACCACTTAGTCACCAAATGGTGACTAAAGGATTTTTTTAATTTCGAGCCCTGAGTCAATAGGACAAGCCCAGTTTGAGATTTTCTGGTTAAGGCTGTACTTTTTGGGTAAATAAGCTTGCTTTGTTTTTTTTGGAGGCCCATAATGGGCCTGCGGGCATGACAGGAGAATAATGCCCTTGAATTAGCTAATGAAGAGCACATGTTTTGCCAGCAACAAAGTATAGGGCAAGCCATAATAATAAGATAATGTACTTTCATTCACGAAGTTACCTGCAATGTTTTGTTGGTAATTATATGTGTTGCACATTTTTTCACTCTTTTTGGTTAACTAATTTTTATTTGGTAAATTGACTAAGATAACTCTGACTTGTTTTCCAACAATGTCTTATTGATATGGAAAGTTATATAATTGTTATTTCATGCTCAGGAGATGAACACATTGGTGATAACTGGGGCTGATGATGATGGTGGGGTAAAAAGTTCTGATGTTGAGGAGGAACCAGAGTTACCCATAGGTGTATCAATCAAAGGCCTCAGGAAAGTTTTCAAGGTAAGTAATTATTGTGATATAAACCCCTGTATTTCTCTGCTAGGTTTAAAACTGATCAAGTACCTCATATTAGGTGGCTTGTCATTTCACTTCCTTGTTTGCATCCACATCAGGCCTCCCAAGCCTGATTGAGAATAGAAATGAAAATGCTGAGATAATGAATTATACAATGAATGTATAGTTATGAAATAAACAAATTTATATGATTCACAAATATTTAAAGAGTTTATGCAACCGCCTGTCCTTTTCTTTTACTTGGAGCAAAGTGAACATCTTCGCTGTAGTTTGTAATGTTTTAATAGTGAGGGTTTGGGTCAAGTGTTTGGGGCAGGCTATGTACAATTATGCTCCCCCNTGCCCCCCATCTAAGGTTTGATTTGATGTTGCATGCATGGCGCATGTGATGTTGTAAACAGATGGTTTTAGAAACAGTTTGCTTTTGAGTTGTATGATGAATTCTTGCATACTGTTATTAATTTTATTTGAGTATCGCATGACAAAGGAAATGTTAAAACATAAACATGTCCAGGTGGTATGATGCCTTGGTTAGTTATGACTACCCTCTAAATTGTATATTATGTAAACTATGTACATTTCAGAAAGATCCTTGAGGTTTTCTCACATACATTGTACCAGTAATCTACCTTTGGATGTCAAAAGCACATGTCTTTTGTTTAGTTCCGCTAAACTTAACAAGCTTACTCAATCTGTTTCTTTCACTGTTTTATCCCTCAGGGGTCCACTGGATCCAAAGTTGCTGTGGATGAACTTTCACTTAACATTTTCAAAGGCCAGATAACTGCTCTTCTGGGACACAATGGAGCAGGAAAGACAACAACGATATCAATGCTAACAGGCTTGTTCCCACCTTCCTCTGGCTCTGCGCACATTGATGGAAAGAGTATTATTACTGACATGGATGCTATTCGAGACAGCCTGGGACTCTGCCCCCAACATAATGTACTGTTTGACCGTCTAACTGTAAAAGAACACCTTGACTTCTTTATTAACTTAAAGGTATGACACAACCTGATGGTAATTGCATCCTTGGGTCACTACGTTTATTATTATTATTAAACTCATCTGCATCATTGGTAGAAGTGGTAAATTAATTCAAATCCCCTTGTACCGGTAAATAGATTGTGTAATAAGACACAGTGTTTTATTAAATTTCCTTAAATGTACATACTTTGTTACTAATTCCTTAAGGTGGATTTTTGGAGGTAATAATTCTTTACAATTCACTATTGACATCTAGAATAAAATCGACAATTATAAAAACTATTAATAATAAAAACTGAAACAATACATGATACAATAAAACTGCAGCAGAGTGTTAAAAATATCATGTTGATTGAGCATTTTCTGATGAATTGTGAGGTGTTTGAAAATAGACTCTGTGGTGAGTTTTTGTTATACATGTATCTTTTCAGTCAAAAAAAGACAAGAAAGCTGAGAAATAAAGTTGTAACAGGAGCAAAAGTTTGTAGAAAAGAGTGCAGTATTCATTCTGATATCTGATGAAAAGCTAGAATTGCATTTTGATTGATAGTGGCTAAAAAGGCTTTAGAATTTCTCATTTCTGGCTGTTACAGTGTATTTATTAATTTTATTAATTCAGTAACCCTTCGCAAATTTCCATCTTCCTGAATTATTTGTAGTCCCTACATAGTGATGCCTCTGTGTTGCATTTACAGGGCAAGTTTGGCCAAGAAGCCAGGCAGGAGGTGAGCCAGATGATAAGTGACATCAATCTTGTGGACAAGACCAACAGTCAGTCATCCAAGCTATCTGGAGGAATGAAAAGGAAATTAAGGTGTTACTTACATGTAGTTGCTGATACATGATGAAGTAAGCAAAGTAAAAAAAACCCTGGTATAGATGTTGAATGATGTAGCTGTTCAGATATAGCCTGGAATACATTGTTCAGATAAGGAATAGAGATGTAAATGTTTTTTTTTTGTTTTTTTTGTTGTTTTTTTTGAGTCCTGTAAAGACAACAAGATCTATTGCTAATTTTTGTGTTGAACTGAGGTTGTATTCTTAAAACAAAACAGCTTATAATGTTTTAGTAATGACTTTTTTTGCACAAAATATAATAAATATTACTCAGCTGTGAGTAGTTATGTTCTTTAGATTAGTAAATAAATGTGTTATTTTATTCACAGTTGTGCTATAGCACTTATTGGAGGCTCTGAAATTGTCTTCTTGGATGAGCCCACCTCAGGAATGGACCCATATGCTAGAAGAGGGACATGGGACCTTCTCTTGAAGCACAAAGCAGGAAGAACTATTATTCTGACCACACATTTTATGTACGCATTATTTTATCATGATTTTATAATCAGGAAAAATGTCATTAACATTTGTGATCAACTGACAAGGCCTTAGACAAAACTAGTTTAAATTATTGGTAAATCACTTAATATGCAAATTTTTATGCTTTAAGCAAAGAAATTTTAAAAAAAATGTAAATGTAGTTTTTCCTGATCGAAATGATGTTAAGTGGTACTTTCTTGGCTTCAATGCACAAAATTCTGCATAAATCATTTTGATCATCAAGTAAAAGGAAATATTATCTTTCTTTAATATGAACATTTCCCATGTTATGTAGATATGCTACAAAATATTAATCTTGAAGTTAGGCTTGATGTCTGTCTTTATGTCTGTCTCTCTGTCTGTATGTAGAAATTTCAGGAATGAAAAAGGTTGTTGAATTAGATAAAATCTCTGTACTCATTATTATGACATTATTATTTTGCAGGGATGAAGCAGACTTACTTGGAGATCGGATTGCCATAATGGCTGATGGACAATTACGTTGTTGTGGTAGTTCTCTTTTTCTGAAGGGCAGGTGAGATAAAGTTGCTATAAAGTCTGGAATTGTTAGTATGTTTTTAACTAGTTTTGTGAATTTTTCACACTTGTCAAAGAATATTTTACCACAATTGCTGCTAATCTCGCAATCTGATTGGCTAATTTGCCTTTGTCAATAAGAGTCCATACCATGCTGCTTGCGTCAATGTGTCACGCAATGCCTTTTTTGGCTCGCGGTCTGAAAAAAACATTTTCTTTGATGTTGATATTGTGGTGAAAAACAAATCAAAATGTGGTTTAGCGTGGTCTGTACTTTTATTGACAATGAGCACACGTCATTACTCTTTTCCCAAACATTTTTTTTTCTTATTTTTTCTGCATGTTGAGTGAGTTTGCAAAAGTTTTTGAAAGGAAAGTCTGACGCATAGAAGTAGCTCATTTACATGGTGCAACACATGCACTTTCAAGTCCGAGTTGGTGTTTTCAAAATTTTGTCAACAAATCTTGACAAAGATTTCTTTTGTTATCTTTGATATTGTGGTAAAAAACAAATCAAATGTAGTTTAGCTTGCTCTGTACTCTTATCGACAACGAGTACGCGTCATCACAGTGGTGAAAATTTGTTGTGGACTCACTTGGCTGTGCCTCGTGAGTCCACAACATTTTGACCACTGTGATGACACATACTCGTTGTCAATAAGAGTACAGACTACGCTAAACCACATTCAATTTGTTATTTCTACCATGTTGTGCAGAAGATATTAAATGTTTTTCTAAGTCATATTTTTTTTTTTTAATTTCACTTTCTTTCTTTTGATCGCATACATGTAGGTTGAATTTTAGACATGGAAGTTGTTGGCGAGTTTATCAGTTGTTTAGTTTTTGCATAACATGATGTATGCAGGATGGAGCTGGTTTTGGTGTACACATTTGCACACCACATTACACACATGCCCTGTAAAGGTGTTACCAGATTCACTGAAAACACATTTTTTTATTTGTTTTTTTATGATATTTTTTTACTGAAAACACATTATTATTATTATTTTTGCTTTATTTTATTTTTTAGTTTATTTCATACCATTATTTTTGGACTCTTTTTTTTTTCGATGACCATAACAATGGTCTTACATGTGCATGATGCATTTCATTGGGTGTATAACTGATCAGGGGAAACTATTTTCCTCTACTTGTTCTTAAAAAAAAACTGCTCATTGCAGACATTTTTACACTGGGTTACAACAGAGTAAAGTGTAGGACCTGGTACACTGATGATTAGATTTCTGTTTGGGATGTTGACATCCTGGGCAAAGCCAGTCCTTTTTTGCAGTGTTCCTCTGCACACATGTGGGAGTAGAAGTGGGGAGTGGTAAATTGTCGGGGCAACCTGCAAAAAATGACTAGCATGCCATACAAGGGGATACTCGTAGTCACTATGGAGACCCGAGATAAGATTTGCCAAGTAGTTTGTGGAGAAACTTAGTGGTTGAGGAACATTGATCCCTAGCGTATTTATATAGTTCAGTATATATAACCATGAAATGTTATGATTTTGTAGGTATGGTGTAGGATATCATTTGACATTAGTTAAAAAGGAAAGCTACGACCAAGAGGCGATCACAAACCTTGTCAAGCGCCATGTACCAACAGCAGAAATAATCAGTTGTGTTGGTGCAGAAATCCAATTTGTTCTCAGTAGTGAAAGTTCACAAAGCTTTGAGGCTCTCTTCTATGAACTGGAAAGTAAGTAAATAGTGAATGTTCTTAAATAACTGATCAGCTGTAGGCAGGTCCAGATTTGCGTCTATAGACTGATGTTCATAAGTTAAATTACATTGTCTTCAGTTCCAAGGAAGTAATTGTTGAGTTTTTTTTTAATTGCAAGTTTCTAAGTTAAGTGGAAAGCAAGGTACATAAAATTGCAAGAGCAAAAGCAATATTTCCCCTTCCACCCATCCCCCACAACAGATGGAGACGTTCAAGGAAGTTTGAATCAGTATTACTCTTTAGCAGTGATATGGGCCAAAAAGGACAGCAACTCATAATCAATGGATACACGTGTAATGATCTTTTGTGCACTTAATGATGTTCAGACAGGTAGATTCCCCTTAATGTAGTATAGCCATGTGGATCAAGACACTTTTACATCTAATAACTCTTTTGTGTTGCAAAGTTTCAACCGACGCTCAATTCTCCTTCCTTCCATGTAATTTTGTTGGTATTGAAAAAACAATATGTACACATTTCTTTGCAATATAGATAAACTGGAGGAATATGGAATAACAAGTTTTGGCGTTTCTGTGACAACTCTAGAGGAGGTTTTCATGAAAGTTGGAGAAGGTGCTGAGAAAACTCTACAGGACCTGTAAGTATCATCAGAAATATTTTATAATGTAAAATAAATGGATTAACTTTTGAATATATTTCTAATTAGTACTTTAATTTGCTTTTAATTAATTTACTTCTAATAACAAATTTTAGTTTTAGATAACTTAACAAGAAATCAACAAAGCATTGCCATTGGTTCTCTTAGTGAACTATAATTAAGATATGATCCTGACAATGCCAAAAGAAGTGGGTTTTGACACAACATTCCAAATTAAACTAATTTGTTTTGTTGTTGTTGTTGTTTTAATAATCATTTCTTACACTTACAACACTTATTACATCACTTATTCTAAGCCTATTTTTGCAATAACATACAACAAATCTTTCTGTACAATCATACTCAGGTGGAGGAGCTTTTAGGAATATTAAATAATTTTTTCAAGTTTTTACTTATATTTAACTTTGCTGATAAAGTCGGAAAGTAATAGAAATGGTGAGTCATTTTGGAGTTTTTTCTTATAAATATAATACCGCAGAAAGAGGAGGGTGTAGTTCAGTTTTTTGAATCAAGGTACTTGAACTTGGAAAAGTACCAAAAAGAAGAAGATCTTCAATGTTTAGATTAAATTCAGAGTTATTCTCTGTATTAAACCATTGTAATATTTCTTGAGTAAAGGACTTTGTAAATTGGCACTCTGAAAACGTATGGTCTATAGAATCCAGATCCCCACAATATATACAATTACTATCTAAACCTAAAAAGTTCCTTTTTAGTCACTACAATTCTATGAATGAATTTAAAATGAAATTCCGTAATTCTATTTTCTCTACAAGTCTTTTGTACCGATTTGAATATATTCGTCCAGTTGTTTTGTCCACAGGAACGGTTTGATTCCATCTCTTTGCACCAGTTTGGTTTTCTTTATACTTCTTATCAACAATTAGCCAGTAGAAGTCTTTGGATTTAGCTCGCAGTAAATTAATAACTACGTTTTCATCTAAGTGAAAGGACTCCGGGTCCTCATTGTTTATCATTTCAGCACTGAATTCATTAGTTTTCGCCTTAGTTAGGAGGTGACCTGGAATAGCAGAAATAACTTGGTAAAAGTGAGGAAAGGTAGTTTTTTTGAAGTGAATATTTCAACTGAAAAACAGGGAATGGTAGGACATTTCCATTTTTTTCTAAATGATCTTTAATCGTTCTAATACCTTTCTCGAACCATTCCTTCCAGAAAAAAGGTTTACCGTCAATGCGGATTTCCTTATTGTTAAGTAGAATTTTATCTCGTTCATGATGGCATCCGTGAAGAGCCTTCAATTCATGAAAGAACAACAGAATGTCCTTATAAAAAGAGGGTACATTTTCAAAGTGCTTTGCATCGTAATTACATGATAGGAGAAAATGGAGGCCCCCATATTTCTTAAAAAAATAGTCTGGTACAAATTTCCACTAGAGATGGCCCTTCCGTATGAGTCTTGGTATCCATGCTAATCTCAGCGCTTTGATCATTGTTTCTATATCCGTCATACGCAGCCCGCCCTTCTCATAATCCTGATATAGTCCTTCCCTTCTTATTTTGTCCCTTTTATTTTTCCAGATGAATCTAAAGAGCCTACCTTTAACGTTACTTATAATATCCTTNATCCTGATATAGTCCTTCCCTTCTTATTTTGTCCCTTTTATTTTTCCAGATGAATCTAAAGAGCCTACCTTTAACGTTACTTATAATATCTTTTGGAACATTGATATTTGAAGCTGGTTATATAAGAGATGATACTCCAAGCGCCTTGGTTATCATCACTTTCTCAAATAGTGTGAGATCTCTTGACTTCCATATATCCAAGTTTGTTTGCAATTTATCTATCTTAAGGTTGAAATTCATTTCATTATTTCCTCGAAATACCTAGAATTCTGGTCGGATTACTAACCCATTTTAAATGTAACGGTTTGTTTTTATTGCCTGACCACTTCCTCTGCCACATAGCTTTAGTTTTCTCTAAATTGAGCCTAAGACCAGAGATTTCGCCAAAATCCACTGCGATTTGTAATCCTTTTTCCACCGAAGAGAGGTCGAAACACAGCAGGTTGGTATTATCTGCAAATTGACTAATTTTAATTTCCCTTTCAAATATTGAAATTCCCTTGACAACGCTGGATTGACGGATTTTCATAGACATAAGTTCTGCGGCTAGGATGAACAAGTATGGAGAAAGTGGGCATCCTTGTCTTACTCCGGTAGATTTGGTTATTTTACATTACAAAAATTGTGTTAATGTGACACCTTTTTTCACAGTTAAGTATGTAATAAGATCTTCATTCTTGTGTCCTATTAACTTCAAAAATGAATAAGTCCATGGTTCATTAACATTTTTTTCTTCATTATCAGTGGATGTATATCTTAAAGCAAATAAAAAAGCTAATATTCTGAGGTAATTCCTTTGTGGAAAGTTTCATTTGCGCATTTTGCTTAAAAGGTTTTGCTCCTGCAGGACTTGATTTGAAATTGAGACAAAGGGAATTCGTAAATGGCATATTGCAAACTGGTTTCAGCTAATCACACTGTTAACGAGATCAATTTGAAGTTAGACCAACAGAGATGAACCTTTTGTTTTCCTGTAGAGCTGTTGACCAAGAGCATCTTGGGCAACAATATGCATCAGCTTCAAATCTCTTGGAGCCTGGGGCAGAGAAACAGGCAATTGGAGGTATTTCAATTTTTTCACTTAGGTATTACTTTGCAGAATGCTTCATGTTAAAACCAGAATTCGAATTGTTTGGAAATTCGGTAGCTTATAAATGCTGTTTCTACGGGAATCTTGACAGGAATTGAGATACTTGCAATCTTTTCCTGCGAACATGAAGCAAAATATATGTGTAGGACATTGCAAAAGAAATAAGGAAAACCGCACTAAATTTTAAAACCATCATTAAGAAGTGTTCATGCTCTTTAGGATGACCTTCATAAATATATTAGTTTATTACAGTTGTATTCCACCTATACAAAAATCTTCTCCTTGCCAAAACCTTGCTGAAAATAATTGAAAACGACAAAGCATATCGTTTTGCTGGTGTTACGCATTAAACAGCGTACAGTTCAGCAACTTACCAATACTTAATGTCACATATGGGCTTACTTTTGCGAATGCCATCATGTTGTCTTAACTTGTTTTGTTTGGTCTTGATTTATAAGTTAGTGAAAATAAATTTCTGCTCTTGTTTAATATATATTTTCAGAATTAAAGACAGGTTTGAGCCTGAAGTGGCAGCAGTACAAGGCCATGCTTATTAAGAGATTTCTGAACTCCAAACGTGAGAAAAAACTGGTTTTAACGCAGATAATTCTACCACTGTTGATGGTGCTGCTTGGATTGCTGCTCATTAAGACTCTTCAGGAACCAAACACGGATGAACCTCCACGTGTTTTAACGCTGTCCCATCTTAGCATTAAGGACGTTCCAAACACTGGGTTTTTTGCTGACTTCCGTTTGAACGCTTCTACCAGTGCAAAGAAAAAACTCTTTGATGTAAGTCAAATAAGGAGTAAATGACTTGGTATTCAATCCAAATAACCATTTCCTCTATGCGATGTTCCCTAATGCATCGTGATATTCAACAAAACAGGCCCAAAATTTGTTTTGGGTTGAGTCTTGTTCAGATGTTTGTTTTCAGTGTAGATCGGTCAATTCAATTCTTTTACGTTTTCACTCAGTTGAAAGTCACAATCGTGATGGCCACCTTTTGTCCAGATATGTTATCTTGAACATATTACCACAAAATACAATAACCTTTATTTCACCTCGAATATAAAATAGCGAAATTGCTAATATCTTCGAGAAAATGCATAAATGAATAAATAAAATACGATGGATATGGAATATTAAAATAAGTTTATAAAATTACAATATGTACAATTACGATACACTAGCTACATTTACATTTCATAGAGGAAACTGGGTGCAGTCTACATCGTGCATAATTGAGTGTTAAAATTTATTCATAATATAGAGCCAAAAAAACAATATTGAAGGGAAAAATATTGCGATTTGGACAGTAATGCAGCAAGGTTAATGATTATCCATAACTACGTGTTAAGATGGAGCCCCTTCATGGTCAGCAGTCCACCAAGTATGCTATGTATATTGCATTTTGTGTCCATCTAGTCGTTATCTATTTGAACTTGGAGCTCAGTGTTCAAAATTACTATGTGCAGTGTACCGGTATATCATGAGAAATGTTTGATTATACAAGTAGGACTATACAATGTTCTAACGTCCCATGAAAGAGCTGGTGATACTGAAGAGAGCTTTTCACTTATGTGAGGTTGAAAATGGTACTATCTTTAGACAGTTCCCTTGCTATACTGTTGGCTGTTAATTTACACTATTCTTACCCACCTTATAGGAAGCAAACAAATATCTGAAAGAAGTGAAGGTGGACTTGAAGGATGTAGTCTCAGACGTGGATGCCATTAAGAAAGGTAACCAAGGAGACAACATATTGGTAAAAGGAGAAAAGTATCTATACAAAGATGAAAGCCAGAAGGAAAAATGCTGCAATTACGAGTTCCTCATTCTGAATGCCAAGTGTCAGAAAGATGTAAGTTGTTGAGTCCTTGCTTGTTTTGTAATTTGTTTTATTTCTTTTGTCCACAGTGTCTACCCTTGAAGGAAAATTAGTGACTAACAATATATATATATATATAGGCAATTGTGGAAAACGAGGACGGACAACTTCGAGCGAAAAAAATATATATATACAGTACAAAATCTAAGAAATCTAAAAAAAAGTTTAAAAATTTAATATTTAAATTATTAAATTATTACATTTTTAAACTTTTTTTTAGATTTCTTAGATTTTTTACTGTATATATATTTTTTTTTCGCTCGAAGTTGTCCGTCCTCGTTTTCCACAATTGCCTACAA